TGAAAATTCGTTCAGAACTCCTCACACCTTTGGATACTGGAACTTAGCTTGGGCTACTGGGCCGACTCTGGGACGAATGAGGAAATGCGTTTTAGCCGCTCCCCCCCCAGAAAATCCGAAATCAGTCCGAAACCACTGTAAAACGCATATGGAGTGAGGAAAACACTACCGTCAATTATGTGACGGTCACCTAGTGGTAGTAGCAGCAGTAGCAGCAGCAGCTGTTTGTGTTGTTGCGGTGGTGGCTATTGTACTAGCAGCTGTTGCAGCAGCAGCAGCAGCAGCAGCAGGAGTAGTAGTAGTAGTAGTAGTAGTAGCAGCAGTAGTAGTAGTTGTTGTTGTTGTAGTAATAGAAGTAAGTGATAAAAATCGAAGTCATAAGGCAGTCTTTCGACGATTACGATGCATTTCCTGGTATCTCAAGATGTTTCTAACACTTAGCTGCCGAGTTCCGGCCCGACGAAGCCTTTCAAACTTAGGTGAGGTACTCAACCGCTTAGAGCACCCTACAACAGCAAGAAACCAAACCATTCAGCTCCAACTCAGGCCTAGGAACAGCCGCGAGGCAGGAAGGGCAAAGTTCCAAACTTCTGGCAAGCCTACGAGCAGTCTAGGGTATGCTGGGGAGGGTCCAGGGGGAACTTTGTAAATATAGTCATAACCTACAACCCATACAAGACCCCCAGCTATCCCTATATGTTATTAACCCACTTAGGACGTCCCCCTGACCCTCCAAGTAGGGGTGTGAGGCTCAGGGCTGGAGATCAACCGCAGCAGCTTCAACTGTAGCATTCAGATCCTGGAAAGGACTTAGGGTTTTGGGGTGTTAGGGTGCAGGGAAACTGAATCAGAAACAGAGCCACTAAAAACAAGGGAGTAAAAACGTTGAGCATGAGATGTGCGAAAAAGAACATGCTGTACAGCCCGCATGCTCAGACTAAAGGTCAAGATCATGAGTGCTGAGTACGTCTCTGTTGACGGAAGCAAGGCCGACGAGTAGTCACAGATAAAGAAAGAAGCATGAGCAATTTCGTAAGATACCAATAATATGGTGCCAGACATGCGCAAAAGAGCGGAAACTACGGTGGATCTCCCATGCTGTCCCTTTACAACAAAATTATGTATCTCTGCTTCGGGTTTATGGAGGGGGTTCAAAAACAAGGGGATAAAGGGATTAGAACTTGGGCAAGAGGAGTCTGGACTTGGGATGTGTCGTTTATGGGATCTCGCAAGTACCTCCAGGCACACACATAAGGCAAATGTGTAGATGCAGCGTGTCACCTTTAGGATCTCGTGGAGCGCATGATGACTTTCTGGAAATCAGGTTGCCCTGCATACCCTAGAGTGAACCCAGTTTCCATATAATTTTCAATTTTCTTGTCCATGTGATTCCGTAACATCACTAAACCCTAAACCCTTTTTTGCAAGGGGCTTTCTGACTCCGCCTGGAAAAGTTGTCCTGCCGTTCTCCGAGCCAGCAAGACAGCAAACCTTAAACGCTGAGCCCCAAACGTTAAGGTCCCTGGAATAAAGGAACCTTAACCTAAACCCTGAGCCCCAAACATTAAGGTCCCTGGAATAAAGGAACCCTAAACCCTGAACCTTAATATAAAACCCCAACATACCATAGTAGATTCCATTTTTTCCATCATCTCAAATACATACCCCATTATAACCCTAATATATAGGCCTCGCCCACAGTTGGGGTGTAGACGATGGGCATCAGGAAGTGGGGCTCCGCCAACAAGGTCTGGTAGAAGAGGTTGGGATCCTGCATCAGTGATGTATGGTACCGTTAAGGGGGGTAAAAGGGGGTTTGTATGGGTCCCTTGTAAAGGGGGGTTCTAGGGGATATAGAGGGGTACCTTTAAAGGGTGGTTATAGGGATATGTAGGGGTCCCTTTGAAGGGTGGTTATAGGGGATATTTCTGGGCCCCATTAAAAGATGGTTATAGGGGATATGTAGGGGTTATATTATTGGGATACATAATTTAAGGGTTCCCAAATGTAGTGAATCCTTTCTATCTCTATAATAGGGACTGCTGTATTTTGGGGGGTCCCCATTTTGGGGGGAACTACTAACTACCACGTGGCGCAAGCTGAATGACACGAGGGAGGCACCCTGCGGGATCCCGGCTGGCCTTTAGGTGCAAAAGTACTGCAAACTGCAGTTACTTCAGGTGGACATGCTGACATGAGCTGTAGCCTGAACTCGAAGTATCCCGCCTTTTTTTGCCGTTATAATACTCCCCTGTATAACCCCCTTTCAGGAGTTTTGACCCCCAGACCCCAAACCCTCAACCCTCTATAACCCCCTTAAGGAATTTTACGCTACAGCTCAGCCGACCTTGTGGTGGAGCATCCGCAGGTACGCATAGGCCCAAACGTAGTGTCCAAGGCTTGCAAAGCCTCGGACCTCCGCCAAAGCCTGACCAAAACCCCAAATCACAACAACTCAAAGCAAGAGAATGATACATATGGGTGGTTGTCAAAATTATGGTCCCTTTTTGGGTACCCTAAATATTAGGGGCCGTATTATAATAGGGACCCAAAAAGGGACCATAATTTTGACAACCAGCCATATGCTTTTTAAGTTCTGTAAGGGACCCCGATGTTGGAAACCTTTCAACTATAGCGCACACAAAAGCTAGAACTCCCGCTTGACTCTAGAAACGAGTTGCTTTGACTGCACAGGCAATCTTACTCTTGGCTCTGTTGGAGGAATTCAACTTGATAGTTTCCCTAAATAGGGGACCGCCATATAGACCCTAAGATAGTATAGTCCTTATTATTGGGACCCCCAAAAAGGTAACCATAATTTTGGGAAACCCCACTTATTGAAATGGCACACCGCCTCCTGCACCGTACGGGCGCTGCAGGCTGTGTCCAGGATGCGTCTCACTTGGGACAGGCTGGCCTGCTGCAATTGAATCTGCGTCTGCGCTTTCTACTGGACACGCTCCTCATCTCTCAGGGCAGGGCTCAGAAGTTCAGAAGGTACGGTTCTTGGAAATCCCTGCCCTTAAAGTTTGACAGCCACTTTTCTGCCTCGCTCGGCAAACAAGAGCTCCATTCAAGCAAGTCATGAACGTAAACCCTAAACCCTAAAGAGTAGTTTACTTTTCATTTTCCATTATCCCAATAGAACGCTTATGTAACCAAAACCCTAAGCCCTAAACCCTGGTCAAGGTTTTAGGGTTTAGGGTTATATAGGGGCATGTAGTAGGGGTATATAGGGGTACATTGGGATAATGGAAAAGAAAATGGAAACTGCCATACAGGACTGTATGGGGGGTATGCTGCTCTTCGCAGCTCAAGTAAGGTCTAGTGGTAACATGCCAGGTGGAAGGTCGCCGGGCGGAAGGTCGCACAGGGACAAGTGGTGGACATTTGCCATCGTCTCAGAATCATGGTCTCTTGTTTCGGAGTGCCTGCAAGAAGTGGGCTCCGTATCTTAAGCAAGTTCAGCATGGGGTTCTACGGGAAATTTCTAGAATATTAGAAGCAGAAATCACAGTGCCTGGGATATGATGACACAGGTTCCCCCTGAAATGAGTTCGTAGGATGACTTGAAGACATGCCCATGGCCGCGAGAAACTCCCCTCGTTTTCAGAAAGCCCCGGTGTTTTAAGCAGCGCAGCGCCCCTTCATTGTTATTTCCCAAAAGCTTCCATTCTTATGTCCCTAGACTCTAAACCCTAAATCCTAAACCCTAAGCCCTTTTTGCAGTGGGTCATAAGTACCAGCCCTAAACCCTAAATCCTAAACCCTAAACCCTGAATCCTAAACCCTAAACCCTAAATCCTAAACCCTGAACCCTAAATCCAAAACCCTAAACCCTTAATCCTAAATCCTAAACCCTAAATCCCAAACCCTAAATCCTAGACCCTGAATCTTAAACCCTAAATCCTCAATCCTAAATCCTAATCCTTAATCCTAAATCCTAAGCCC